AGCAGCAGCGGGAAGCCGCGCACCTGCCGCTTGAGCCCGTTGTAGTCATTGGTGAGGGTCCGCAGAGCCGGCTGCAGTGTCAACAGGTTGGTCCGAACGCCTGTGGGGACACTCAGGATGTGAGGCTGGAGGGGATGAGGGGCTGTGGCGTGGGGCAGACAGGGCCCAGCTGGCTAGCTCACCTGCCAGATTCTCATGCACAGCCTTCATCTCCACCTGGGCTCTGGCGAAGGCCTCCTCGATGGCCCGGTTCTTGTCCTCCTCCAGGGACTGCATCTCCTCCAGCATCTGCCCATGCGCCCGTTCCAGCTCTGACTCGTACATGGCAATCTGGCAGCCACACCAGGAAAAGGATCAGTAACTCGGGGTGCGGGAGGGAGAGAGGCAGGGGCCATACTGAGAAAGAAGCCCCACTGCTCACTTCCCATGCATGTGAACACATGTGTGCACACACACACACAGCAGAGGAGTGGGCCGGCCTTCTCTCCCTCCCCCATAGGGCTGTGAGCTCTGTGCACTCGCCCCGGCACCAACCCAGTGCTGACCACACGGCAGGTGCCCAAGCCACGTGCCCTCAGGAAGGTAGGAGAGGACCTCTGTGATGACAGCGACGGGTGCCACTGTAGAGCTTACTGAGCACAGCCTGTGTGCTGAGCCCTTGGCAAAAACCTTCTTGGGATCACGTTCCTGAGTCCCCACTGCACAGTGGGCTCTGAGACCAGAAAGTGTTGTAAGAGATGAGGAAATGGTCTCCGGACAAAACTCACCCCGGATCCCATGGCCATCAGGGAGAGGGGGGACTGGACCCCACATCTGCGGGTTGCCAAATGTTTAACCAATGCATTGGCTCAGGGCCTGCCTGGCTTCCTGGCCAGGTGTGATCCCCATGCGGCCTGCCTACCTGTGCCCGGAGCCGCGCGGTCAGCTGGTGCGAGCTCTGCAGCTGCTGCTCCATCTCCTTCAGCACCTGCCTCTGCATGGCCACCTGCTCCTGCAGGTGCTGGTTCCGGGCCTGGGACTCGCTGAGGGCCTGCTTGGTCTTGGGCGACTCCACCTCCACTGTCTTGATGACATACTGCGGGGCAAGGGAGGAATGGTGCATGGAGCTCAGTGGGCACCAGACCTCACTCCAGACCCTGAGACACAGCTGGCCAGGGGAAGGAACCCTCAGGAACATCCCACTCAGAAATGCGGGAAAACCTAGAGGAGCCTTGAGGTCCTGGCTTTCCAGAAAGCTGCAGGGTCTCCTGGAACCTTCTCATCTTAACAAGAGGCTACTGTGAGCCTGGCTGGCCCCATCCTGGGACAAACCAGAAAGGCAAAGGTGAGGGCAGAATCCAGGGGCTGTGCTGCATCTGTGCCTGGCACCTCAGCTGCTGGACGCCTACTCAGTGCCTGGCCCTGGATAGCAAAAAGGAGATGGGGCAGGACCAAGCACAGAACAGGAATGATCCTCCACCCGCTCGCACCTACCTATTCACCAGGACAAGCCCCTCTTATGGGCTGGCCACCAGGGGCCTTGGGCAGAGGCACAGATCAGGTGGGCCAGGGCTCACCTTTACAGGTGGGGACTGGGCCCGCAGGCTGGCGATGGTCTCGTGGCTGTCACGCAGGCGCCGGCTGAGCCGCTCCTCCTCCTGCGCCTTCTCAGCCAGGCAGTCCTTGAGCCGCAGCTCCACCTCGGCTAGTCGGTCGGTCTTCTGCTGCACCTCCAGGTTCAGCTCTGACAGCATGCCTTTGCTTTCCGCCATCTCCAGCTGCAGCTGGGACAGCTTGTCACGGAGCTGGGCGCTCTCCTGCAGCCATTGGGAGGCACTGGGTGAGTGCGAGGGACAGGCTCACGGTGAGGAGCCGGGTGGCCCTCCAGGACCAGCATGGGGGCCTCGGCCATTCTGCTCACCTGGCTGTGCTCACAGCCCGGGCAGGGGCCCGGTGGCTTTGCACGAAGCTCCTGCAGCTCGGCCTCGCAGCGCCGCATCTCCTGCCTCAGTCGCTCATTCTCCACCATCAGCAGGTCCCGGTGCTTCTCCAAGTCGGTACCCCCCTGCAGAGAGCCAGGGCCCAGGGGGCGCATGTGGCAAGGGCAGAGGGTGGGGAAAGAAGAGGGGCCAGTGGAGATGGCACAAAGGCAGGAGAGAGAGGACAGGTGTGGAGAAAGGCAGAGGGAAGGAGAGAAAGAAAACGGCAAGGGACGGAGAGGAGGGAGTGAGCTCAAGAGAGAAACCAAGGAAAAGACAGTGGAGGGCCGAGTCCAAAGGGTGGCAACCTGGGGCCTGCTCTCCCTGCTGCCCCCATCCTATTCTGAGTGAGAAAGTCACAAGGAGAGGCATATTTATACCATGGTTCACACTCCTGCTTCCCGTCAGCAACAGAGAAGGAAGCTCCCACCCCTTGGAGCCTCGAGGCCTCTGAGGGCCCTAGGAGGTGGGGCTAAGCGCTCCTGGTGTGTTTCTGAGACAGAGTGGGAAGTGCAGGCTCCGGAGAGAGAGGGTTGCACCCCTGCCCCCAGCAGGGCCCATCTACACTGGGCCGGGCCAGCCCCTGCGCTGCCCAGGACAGCCCTGTGGCCTCACCAGCTCGGATCGCAGTCGGCTCACTTCCTGGGCCTGGCTAATGAGCTTCTCCTTCAGGTGTTCCACCTGTGGGCACAAAGTCGGGAGCGAGGTGAGCCTCGGTCCTCAGCTGCAGCCCACACCCAGGCCTCCTGCCCAGCAGCAGGGATGACTGACGTGGCTGTGGCTTCTTCGAAGGCTGTGGGCTTAGGTCCCACTGTGTTCAAGCATCCCGTCACACCTGGGACCTCAGGTGACAGAAACCTGGGCTGGTGCTGACAGCCTCCAGCACCCTCTCCCTCCACAGGACAAAGCCAGCCCCGGCTCTCCGGGAAAGCCCACAGAGCAAGTGCAACCAAGGCCGCCCCGATGCCACCCGGGCCTACCGAGCAGCAGCCCACCCTCGGGACCCCTCCCGACAGAGCCTCTCCCGAAACCTGTACCTGCCTGTGTATATGTAACTTTATGTTTTCCCTCCTTAAAGGGGCCCCAGATTGTACATACTCCAGGCCCTCCCAGCCCTGGACCCACCCTGGCCCAGCCCCCAGAATTTTCCACTTGGGGTGGTCTCTGGCAAGTTGGCCTGTAGAGATGGGGCTGCCAGTGCCCAGGGCACACTTGGATCCTGTATCTATCCTGCTCCCACCACTGTGCAGGAGAGCTGTGGCGGCCACAGCTGTTAAAGGGAGAAGGGGGTGAGTGCCCCATGAGGAAGCCATGGCTACGTGGCTTATCTGGACCCCAGAGGAGGGGACACTGTCATGGTCCTATGAGGGCAGATCTCAGGGGGCAGCCCTTTCCTGGAGCTGTCCTCCAGCTGGCCATCCCCTCCAAGGCCCCCGACCCTGGTCTCACATCAGCCCAGCCCCAGGAACCTCTCCTCGGGAAACAATCTGCAGACACCGACTTTGGCTCCAGCTTCCATAAGGGCCTGTTTAGACTTTTCTTGCAGAACGTCTCACGGTAAGCACCCCTCGCTCGGGAAACGTGCGCTAAGAGCCAGATTACTACGTGGTGGTTTAGGAGGTTAACGCAGCTGGGTTCAGCTGGGTTAACGTCCACTGACTACAGGGGACAGCCAGGTAAGGCAGGTAGGGGCTGTGCAAGGCTGGGCCCCCAAGAATCCCTTAAGAAGGCAGCCACCATGTGCTCCCCTTGGACCACGGGAGGTGGGAACGCACACCCAGCATTGCCAAACTTCTCATCTTTTAAGAGATGCCTAGGCCGGCCTGGGCAACATCGCGAGACCCCATCTCTCAAAAAAGTTTCAAAACTCAGCCAAGTGTGCCGGTGCCCGCCTATAATCCCAAGTGTAATCTAGAGGCTTAGGTGGGAGGATCACCTGAGCCCAGGAATATGAAGCTGCAGTAAGCTATGACAGCACCACTGCACTCCAGGGTGACAGAGTGAGGCTGTCACATACACACACACAAAAAGAGGCTTAGGGTCTGCTCCCTTAGCACAGCCAGCAGCAAGCATCAGCCATAGTGAAGACAGGCCAGACATTTGGATTTTGGGGGGGTGTGTGTGTAAAATCTCTCTACTTTACATGGTTGAGATGTCATCAAACAAGTCTGTGTCATCAAACAAGGTAGCGTTTGGCCTCGGAGGTCCGTGTCTCCCAGGGCTAGGGAGAGCGGCTGACCCACAGCATCCAGGCCAGCTCTGAGGTCAGGGAGGAAGTGAGCCAAGGGATCCACCCCCATCTTTGAGGAAAAGTCCGGAGAGCTGGCATTGCCTGCTCGCGGTGAGGCAGGGGGATTCCAAGACGCAACACCCAGCTGAAAGGCTGGGGGCCCAGCCAGGCCTCCTGGGGGACAAGCAGGTGACTCAAGGGCCAGGCCCCAGTAGGTCAGCTCTGCCACCACCTGCACAAGCACATTCCTTCCTAGCAACACGCTGGGCCACAGGTCAGGCAGAGAGGCAGAGCTCATGCCACTTCCCTGCCCGCTCAGTGCCCAATGAGAGGACAGCTCAAGTCCTTCGGCCCCAGGTGCCAGCAGGGACAGTTTGCATGAGGCAGCCTTTCTGCTTTAGTCCTCAAATTGAGAATACCCTGAATACCCGGTATTAGAGGAGTGGGCAGGTGAATTACAATGTGAATATACGTTACATAGACTGTTAGGTCCTCATTGCATTCACGTTTATCAGGAGTTTTAAGGGCTCATCAACATATTAAGTCAAAGAAAAACCTGAAAAACAATTGAGTGTACAGTACTAAAAGTGGGGGTCTCTGGACTGTGGAATTATAGTTGACAAAATCTTCATATTTTTCAGTAATTTTTTTTTGAGACAGGGTCTCGCTCTGTCACCCAGGCCGGAATGCAGTGGCACGATCTAGGCTCACTGCAGCCTAGACCTCCTGGACTCAAGCCGTCCTCCCACTTCCACCTCCCGAGTGGCTGGGACTACAGGCATATGCTACCACGCCCAAATAATTTCTTTTTAAATGTATAAACCGGGTCTTGCCATATTACCCAGGCTGGCCTTGAATTCCTGGCCTCAAGCAATCTTCCCCACCTCAGCCTCCCAAAGTGCGAGGATTACAGGTGTGAGCCACTGTGCCCGGTCAGTAATTGTTACATTTCGAAGAGTATGTATTCCTACTTTCCCTGCCCTGACATAAGTGAATCAACTTCCTTTTCAAAAGGTTGGCGTCTCCTCCCACCCTGCTTCCCTCCCCAGATGGGCTGTTGCCTCAGCACGGGGCTGGGTGAGCTGACCTTGATCATCTCCACTGCCGCCACTGCCAGGCACTCAGACCCCGATGCAGGGAGAGGGGGGTGTGCCAGTGTTTGCTGAGGGTGGGAGGAGGGATACTGACAGGCCACCTGCCTGCAGCCCAGGGTCCTGTTCTGTTCTTGCATCACAATGGGAACCTGGGGGCTCCTGAGCTCTGTCTGGAATCTCAGAGGGGCACCCAGAAGGAGGTGACTGCAGCAGGGGCAGGCTCGGGAGCATGGGGGATGGTGAGGGAGGGCCTGTAGAAAGCCCCTCTGTTCAGAGATGTCCGACAGTAGGTCATCTCAGGCCTGTTGTGGGCAGCGGAGCAGGGGAACGTGGCTGAGACAGCGGACTGGCACCACGAGCACGCTGGCCAAGGCACCAGAGGTCTGCTCTGTGGCAGGTGGCTGGCCAGCTCTACTGGGGGCTGGGGGTCGAGTTTGTGGGGAGATGCCCGCTTTCTCCTGCACTTGAAGGCAGGCAATCTCTCAGAGCTGGGGAAACCGGGCAAGAAGTCAGAGAGAAACGGAGGCACCTGAGGAAAAGGGAAGGGAGATGGCCCGGTAGGAGTGAGAGCCAAGAGCGGGCAGGGCCAGAGGGTAGAGCCTTCCGCGGGGGAGACCAAGGGCCCTTCACACACTCACCTTGGCTCCCAGCCAGTGAGGGCCGTCTGTGTCTCTACGCCCAACCGAGGAGGGTCCCGAGTGCCAGCCTGGGGCCAGCACACAGCAGGGGCCTGATACATACTTGAAGTAGCCCCAAAGGGGCAGGAGCCACATGCCTGAGCCCAAGAGATAGGACAGAGGAGAAAGCAGGCTCCCCACCAGGGCGCTGAGACGGTCCCAGGGCAGTGTGGACATCAATCCAGGGCTGAGGACGGACCAGGCTGGGACTGTGGGACACCTTTCCCAGGCCCAAGCTCCTCATCAGCCAGAGCAACTGAGTCACGGGCCTGGTGCAGGGGGCCTCACGGGAAAAGGGAGCTAGGCCTGTCTGCTGACTTGACAACACCTGCATTTACACAGGGCAGGCTCAGCTGAGGGTGGGGCCGGCCAGCCCAGGTCTGTGTTTTCTCAGCTGTCTGCTCCTAAGGCGGCCTCTCACCATCGCAGAAAGAAAACTGCTGGTTACCTCCTTACCTCCCACCAAGCCCAGCCAACGATCATCAGCTGTCAGCTGAGGAAAAGAGGGCTCTCCCAGGCCAAAGTTGTTGAGCTGGGAAGGCCAGAGGGCCTGGGATCCAGATGACCTCAAGGGAACTCAGTGCAGAGGCCAGCAGGTGGACGCCCTGTGGAACCCGCAGAAGGCCTGATCCTGGCTCTGTGACCACCCGCCAGGCCTGTGTGTCCCCTGTCCATGCCACCCTGCCTCTGTTGCCACGTCTTCACCTCTGGGTCCTTCTGCCACTGATGGGCAGTAACAGCAGCTAACAATTCAAATTCTCAAGCCAGGCTGTCCAGGTTCTAATCCAGACACTCCCTTACCTGCTGGGTAACCTTGGACATGCCTCTTAAGTTCTCTCTGTCTGTTGCTTTCCTTATTTGTATAATGACGCTACCTCATCAAGGCTGTCTCCGGGATTAAATGAGACGATATATGCGAATGAAAGATCTGTGAAGGCCGGGATTTTTGTCTGTTGTGTTCAGCACTGTACTCCCAGTGCCTGGTACGCAGTAGGTGTTCAGTATGTACATGTAGGAAGAATGCTGAATGCATGAGGGGCCAGCCAGAGCGGGGCTTGTGGATGAGGTTGGCAAGCAGAGGCAGAAGGGGCAGTAGGCTGGAGTGTGCTAAAGGATGCTCACCTCCACCAAAGGCAGAAACTGCCACTCACCCTCCAGCAGCAAGTGCCGTGTGGGAATGTCAGCACAGAGGTGCTGCCACATCTTTCAATATTTTGTGACAAAAAGGAAGTCCAGAGTTTTATGTGAATTTAAGATTTAAATGTTGGAATTAATTTGATTTTAAAAGCAAGGCAATTAGAACTAACAAATTCAAAGTTGAAGGATATAAAATCAACACCAAAAAAAAAATCGGCTGCATTTCTACAACTAACAATAAACAACCCAAAAAGGAAATTAAGAAAATAATTCCGTTTACAATAGCAGCAAAAAGAATAAGGTACTGGGGAATAAACAAAGGTTAAATATTGTATGCTAGAAACTACAAAATATTGCTGAAAGAAATGAAAGATGACACCAGTAAATGGAAAGACAGTCCATGTTCATGGATTAGCAGACTTAACATTAAGGTGTCGATACTACCCAAAGTGATCTACAGATTCAGTGCGATGCCTAACAAAATCCCAATGGCATTTGCAGGAGAAATGGAAAGATCCATGTCAAGGGACACCATATAGCCAGAACAGCCTTGAAGGACTGAAGGTCTCACACTTCCTGATTTCAAAATTCACTGAAAAGCTACAGCAATCAGCTGGGTGTGGTGGCTCACACCTGCAATCCCAGCACTTTGGGAAGCCAAGGCAGGCAGATCACCTAACGTCAGGAATTCAAGACCAGCCTGACCAACATGGTAAAACCCAATCTCTACTAAAAATATGAAAATTAACCAGGTCTGGTGGCAGGTGCCTGTAATCCCAGCTACTCAGGAGACTGAGGCAGGAGAATCACTTGAACCCGAGAGGTGGAGGTTTCATTGAGCTGAGATTGCGCCACTGCACTCCAGCCTGGGTGGCAGGGTGAGATTCCATCTCGAAAAAAGAAAAAAAAAAAGCTACAGCAATCAAAATGTGGTATTGCATTTAAACAGACATAAAGACCAATGGAATGGAATACAATGGAACACACAGTCCAGAAATAAACCCTCACATGGCCAAATGATTTTTGACAAGGTTGCCAGGACCATTTAATGGGGCAAAGGATAATCTTTTCAAGAAATGTTGCTGAGAAAACTGGATATCCACAGGCAAAAGAATGGAGTTGGATCCTTACCTTATGCCATATACAAAAATTAACTCAAAATAGATCAAAGAGGGCTAGGCGTGGTGTAATCCCAACACTTTGGGAGGCCAACGCAGGAGGACTGCTTGAGCCCAGGAGTTCAAGACCCCAAGGCAACATAGGGAGACCCTGTCTCTACCACAAGTAAACGAAATTAGCTGGGCATGGTGGCACACGCCTGTGGTCCCAGCTACTAGGGAGGCTGAGTTTGGAGGATCACTTGAGCCACAGTGAGCCTGGACCATATCACCACACTGCAGCCTGGGCAACAGAGCTAGATCCTGTGTCAAAACAAAAAACCCCAGAGACCTAAATGCGACAGCTGAAACTATAAAACTCTTGGAAGAAAATATAGGAGAAAATGTCATGACATTAAATTTGGCAATGGCTTCCTGGATATAACACCAAAAGAAGAGGTAATAAAAGAAAAAGATAAGTCGGACTTCATCAAAATTAAAAACTTTGTATAACAAAGGACACTATCAACAGAGTAAAAAGGTAACACATGGAAAATACTGGAAAGTTTTTTCACTAATAAGGAGTTATTATCCTGGATATATAAAGAACTACCACTCAACAGCAAAATATCCAATTAAAGAATGAGCAAATAACTTGAATAGAAATTTATCCAAAGAAGACACACTAACAGCTAAAACACACATGAAAAGATATATATCACTAGTCATTAGGGAAATGCAAATCAGAACCACAATGAGATACACTAGTCATTAGAGAAATGCAAATCAGAACCACAATGTGAAAATAAAAACAAGCAGGAGCAAGTCCCAGCTACTCCAGGAGGCTGAGGCACAAAGATTGCCTGAGGCCAGGCGTTCAGAGGCTGCAGTGAGACACAACCATGAATAGCCACTACACTCTAGCCTGGGCCACGTAGTGAGACCTCATCTCTACAAGTAAAGAAAACAAAAGGGCCAGGCGTGGTGGCTCACGCCTGTAATCCAGGCACTTTGGAGGCCAGGGTGGGTGGATCACCTGAGGTCGGGAGTTCAAGACCAACCTGACCAACATGGTGAAACCCCATCTTTAAAAAAAAAAAGAAAAGAAAGAAAGAAAACAAAAAACAAGTGCTGATGAGGATATGGAGAAATTAAACCCTTGGGCACTGTTGGTAGGAGTGTAAAATGCTGCGGCCACTATGGAAAACAGTATGATGGTTCCTGAAAAAATTAAAAATAGAACTATCATATGATCCAGCAATTCCATTTCTGGGTATACACCCAAAAGAGTTTAAAGGAGGGACGCAAAGAGATATTTGTACACTCAAGTTTACAGCGGCATTATTCACAGCAGCCAAAAGGTGGAAGCAACCCATGGATGGATGAATGGAAGAACAAAACAAACAAAATGCGGCATGGCCATACAAAAAAATATTATTCAGCCCTAAAAAGAAAATTCTGCTCCAGACTTCACTCGCTAAAAAAAAGAAAAAACCCAATCTTAAAAAAAAAAAAGAAAAGAAAGAAAGAAAACAAAAAACAAGTGCTGAT